CAGAGTATAATTATTGACATCACAGAACTTGGTTGTCCAAAATTGGATAAACTCCCTAAAGTTGGTGTGCGGTCACACTGCGTGGAACACTTCATGTTCCCTCTGCACACATGTGCAGCTCTAAATGCTAAACGAATTGGGCTTTGGTATGAATTCCAAATGGAATAGCAGTGTTCTTTAAAAAATCAAAAAAATAATAAAAACGAATAAAAGTTTGAAAAGCCACTAAAAATGTTTTTTTACACTGTATGTGTTTTGCGAGAGTGTACTCGAGTGAAAACAAGTTGAAACAAGTTCATTTTTTTAGTTCTTTAGTTTGCCGTTCGCCCGATAGGCGGCGCTAGTGGCGCCACTCGATTAGTATATAAGGAGACGGTGGTGCGAGGGTCAGACATCACTTCTGTCTGTCTTGTCGCATAGTCAACATGGCATTCAAACGATTCTCTGACTTTGGTCTACCAGCCGCAAAGCGTGGAATGGATGATGGAGATGGTCCATACCCACCTGCCTACCTCCCTCCCACCCCTGAAGTTGCAGGTTCTGCCCCTGCTGGTCTAATCTCATTTGATTTGGATGCGATTTGCAACAATAATGATCAATCGATCACTCCTGATGTGTTGCTTCAGCTAGGATTGGCTCCACTCCAAGTGAGTGTCCCTGTTAACCCTACTGTGGTGTCAGAATTTCCTCTTGAGGCTGACTATAGAGATTTTGCTCTCACAAAAAATAGTTCAAAACAAATAAGAATTGGAATGGATTGCAAAGATTTCACTCCCTACATTTTGTTGATGGGAGATTCTAATTCCAAAGGTAATAGGCCATGGATAAGAATGTCAGTGGAAGAATTCAATGTGCTTATATCCGGAGAAGTTTTCAATCACATGAAAAATGGCTTAAATTCAAAAACAAGTTGTGATCGGCTCCCTATTGGTGGGCTGACACTTAGTATTAAAATTCATGAAAAGAATAAAAGTTTGACCACAGTATGTGTTGAACGTCAAAATGTTCCACTAAAAATTTATCTTGGTGCTAGCTCTTGGGAAATGTTGCATAGAGCAGAAAAAATCATGAATCACAAACTCAAATCCATACAGAGTTTGAATATCAAAGCACAACAACATTTTTCTAACATGCTTTTGCAATGCAAAAATTATTGTGTGCAATCTGGTACTAAAACTAATGATGAGCTTATCAATGAGGGATTCAATCAACCATCTTGGTTCCCTACTAATATCAAAGATGAATTGATTTGCTTTCACTTTGATTTTTTGAAGGAGAAGCTCTTGAGCACCATGTAATTACAACAAAACACATTTTTTTATAAAGACATAAAAACTATTATAATGATAAAACCAAAGACAAAATATTCTTTTAGTTATCTTTGTTGTGTATCAAACTAATCATTTTACGATTCTCTGAGCGGGGAAAACTTGAGTTAAAGTTCTCCCCAAAATACACAAACTCCGGTAATTTATCCAACACTACCCTAGTAGCACAGAATTGTCGTACGACTGTCGGACAACAGTAGAAAAAAGATACGAACTATCGGTGCGATATACGAAATGAGAAAAATGATTCTATCGGTATACTATCTTTTTTCCTCGAAACGAAATTCTTTATCGGCCAGCTATCGTAATGGAAGCAAAAAACCACTGTTGTGGATTCGCTCAGGAATCG